TAGTGTAGCAGGATGGGGCATCTGGGTAGTGTAGCTGATGGAGAGTCTGGGTAGTGTAGCTGATGGAGCGTCTGGGCAGTTTTGCTGATGGAGCGTCTGGGCAGTGTAGCTGATGGAGCGTCTGGGTAGTGTAGCTGATGGAGCATCTGGGTAGTGTAGCTGATGGAGCGTCTGGGTAGTGTAGCTGATGGCTCGTCTGGTTAATGTAGCTTATGGACCTTCTCGGTAGTATTGTGGATAGGGCGTCTGAGTATCGAGCTCATGGAGCATCTGGGTAGTGTAGCTTATGGAGTGTCTGGCTAGTGTAGCTGATGGAGAGTCTGATTAGTGTAGCTGATGGAGAGTCTGGGTAGTGTAGCTGATGGAGCGTCTGGTCAGTGTAGCTGAAAGAGCGTCTGGGTATAGTAGCTGATGGAGCATCTTGTTAGTGTAGCTGATGAAACGTCTGGTTTGTGGAGCTGATGGAGCGTCTGGGTACTGAAGCTGATAGAGCGTCTGGTTAGTGTAGCTGATGGGGCATCTGGGTAGTGTAGCTGATGGAGCGTCTGGGTAGTGTAGCTGATGGGGCTTCTGGTTAGTGTAGCTGATGGAGCTTCTCGGTAGTGTTGTGAATAGAGCGTGTGGAGCGTGGCTGATGTAGTGTCTTGATAGTGTAGCTGATGTAGTGTCAAGGTTGTGTAGATGATGTGGCGTCTGGGTAGTGTGGCTGATTGAGCTTCTGTGTGGTGTAGCTGATGGAGCGTCTGGTCAGTGTAGCTGATGGAGCGTCTGGGTAGTCTAGGTGATGGAGCGTCTGGTTAGTGTAGCTGATGGAGCGTCTGGGTAGTCTAGGTGATGGAGCGTCTGGTTAGTGGAGCTGATGGAGCGTCTGGGTAGTCTAGGTGATGGAGCATCTGGGTAGTGGAGCTGATGGAGCGTCTGGGTAGTGTAGCTGATGGAGCGTCTGGTTAGTGTAGCTGGTAGAGCGTCTGGGTAGTGGAGCTGATGGAGCTTCTCGGTAGTATTGTGGATAGGGCGTCTGAGTATCGAGCTCATGGAGCATCTGGGTAGTGTAGCTTATGGAGTGTCTGGTTAGTGTAGCTGATGGAGCGTATGGGTAGTGTAGCTGATGGAGCGGCTGGGTAGTGTAGCTGATGGATCGTCTGGTTAGTGTAGCTGATGGAGCTTCTCGGTAGTGTTGTGAATAGAGCGTGCGGAGCATGGCTGATGTAGTGTCTTGATAGTGTAGCTGATGTAGTGTCAAGGTTGTGTAGATGATGGAGCGTCTAGGTAGTGTAGCTGTTGGAGCGTCTGTTTAGTCCAGCGGATAGGGCGTCTGGTTAGTCCTGTGGATAGAGCGTCTCGTAAGTGTAGCTGATGGAGTGTCTGGTTAGTCAAGTGGATAGAGCGTCTCGTAAGTGTAGCTGGTGGAGTGTCTGGCTAGTCCAATGGACAGGGCGTCTAGTTAGTGTAGCTGAGTGAGCATCTGGGTAGCGTAGCTGATGTGGCGTCTGGGTAGTGCGGCTGATGGAGCTTCTGTGTGGTGTAGCTGATGGAGCGTCTGGTCAGTGTAGCTGATGGAGCGTCTGGGTAGTCTAGGTGATGGAGCGTCTGGTAAGTGGAGCTGATTGAGCGTCTGGGTAGTCTAGGTGATGGAGCGTCTGGGTAGTGGAGCTGATGGAGCGTCTGCGTAGTGTAGCTGATGGAGCGTCTGGTTAGTGTAGCTGGTAGAGCTTCTGGGTAGTGGAGCTGAAGGAGCGTCTGGGTAGAGTAGCTGAGTGAGCATCTGGGTAGCGTAGCTGATGTGGCGTCTGGGTAGTGTGGCTGATGGAGCTTCTGTGTGGTGTAGCTGATTGAGCGTCTGGGTAGTGTAGTGGATAGAGTGTCTGGTTAGTGTAGCTGATGGAGCCTCTTTGTGGTGTAGCTGGTGGAGCGTCTGGTTATTTCAGTGGATAGATCGTCTGTTAAGTCAAGTGGATAGAGCGTTTGTTTAGTTAAGTCGATAGATCGTCTGGTTAATGAAGCTGATGGATAGTCTGATTAGTGTAGCTGATGAAGAGTCTGGGTAGTGTAGCTGATGGAGCGTCTGGTCAGTGTAGCTGAAAGAGCGTCTGGGTATAGTAGCTGATGGAGCATCTTGTTAGTGTAGCTGATGAAACGTCTGGTTTGTGGAGCTGATGGAGCGTCTGGGTACTGAAGCTGATAGAGCGTCTGGTTAGTGTAGCTGATGGGGCATCTGGGTAGTGTAGCTGATGGAGCGTCTGGGTAGTGTAGCTGATGGGGCTTCTGGTTAGTGTAGCTGATGGAGCGTCTGGGTAGTGTAGCTGATGGAGAGTCTGGGTAGTGTAGCTGATGGAGCGTCTGGGCAGTGTAGCTGTTTGAGCGTCTGGGGAGTGTAGCTGATTGAGCGTCTGGTCAGTGTAGCTGATGGAGCGTCTGGGTAGAGTAGCTGATGGAACATCTTGTTAGTGTAGCTGATAAAACGTCTGGTTTGTGGAGCCGATGGAGCGTCTGGGTAGTGTAGCAGGATGGGGCATCTGGGTAGTGTAGCTGATGGAGAGTCTGGGTAGTGTAGCTGATGGAGAGTCTGGGTAGTGTAGCTGATGGAGCGTCTGGGCAGTTTTGCTGATGGAGCGTCTGGGCAGTGTAGCTGATGGAGCGTCTGGGTAGTGTAGCTGATGGAGCATCTGGGTAGTGTAGCTGATGGAGCGTCTGGGTAGTGTAGCTGATGGCTCGTCTGGTTAATGTAGCTTATGGACCTTCTCGGTAGTATTGTGGATAGGGCGTCTGAGTATCGAGCTAATGGAGCATCTGGGTAGTGTAGCTTATGGAGTGTCTGGCTAGTGTAGCTGATGGAGAGTCTGATTAGTGTAGCTGATGGAGAGTCTGGGTAGTGTAGCTGATGGAGCGTCTGGTCAGTGTAGCTGAAAGAGCGTCTGGGTATAGTAGCTGATGGAGCATCTTGTTAGTGTAGCTGATGAAACGTCTGGTTTGTGGAGCTGATGGAGCGTCTGGGTACTGAAGCTGATAGAGCGTCTGGTTAGTGTAGCTGATGGGGCATCTGGGTAGTGTAGCTGATGGAGCGTCTGGGTAGTGTAGCTGATGGGGCTTCTGGTTAGTGTAGCTGATGGAGCGTCTGGGTAGTGTAGCTGATGGAGAGTCTGGGTAGTTTAGCTAATTGAGCGTCTGGGTAGTGTAGCTGTTTGAGCGTCAGGGGAATGTAGCTGATTGAGCGTCTGGTCAGTGTAGCTGATGGAGCGTCTGGGTAGAGTAGCTGATGGAACATCTTGTTAGTGTAGCTGATGAAACGTCTGGTTTGTGGAGCTGATGGAGCGTCTGGGTAGTGTAGCAGGATGGGGCATCTGGGTAGTGTAGCTGATGGAGAGTCTGGGTAGTGTAGCTGATGGAGAGTCTGGGTAGTGTAGCTGATGGAGCGTCTGGGCAGTTTTGCTGATGGAGCGTCTGGGCAGTGTAGCTGATGGAGCGTCTGGGTAGTGTAGCTGATGGAACATCTGGGTAGTGTAGCTGATGGAGCGTCTGGGTAGTGTAGCTGATGGCTCGTCTGGTTAATGTAGCTGATGGACCTTCTCGGTAGTATTGTGGATAGGGCGTCTGAGTATCGAGCTCATGGAGCATCTGGGTAGTGTAGCTTATGGAGTGTCTGGCTAGTGTAGCTGATGGAGCGTTTGGGTAGTGTAGCTGATGGAGCATCTGGGTAGTGTAGCTGATGGATCGTCTGGTTAGTGTAGCTGATGGAGCTTCTCGGTAGTGTTGTGAATAGAGCGTGTGGAGCGTGGCTGATATAGTGTCTTGATAGTGTAGCTGATGTAGTGTCAAGGTTGTGTAGATGATGGAGCGTCTAGGTAGTATAGCTGTTGAAGCGTCTGTTTAGTCCAGCGGATAGGGCGTCTGGTTAGTCCTGTGGATAGAGCGTCTCGTAAGTGTAGCTGATGGAGTGTCTGGTTAGTCCAATGGATAGGGCGTCTAGTTAGTGTAGCTGAGTGAGCATCTGGGTAGCGTAGCTGATGTGGCGTCTGGGTAGTGTGGCTGATTGAGCTTCTGTGTGGTGTAGCTGATGGAGCGTCTGGTCAGTGTAGCTGATGGAGCGTCTGGGTAGTGTAGCTGATTGAGTGTCTGGGTAGTGGAGCTGATGGAGAGTCTGGGTAGTGTAGCTGATGGAGAGTCTGGGTAGTGTAGCTGATGGAGAGTCTGGGTAGTGTAGCTGATGGAGAGTCTGGTTAGTATAGCTGATGGAGCGTCTGGGTAGTGTAGCTGATGGAGAGTATGGGTAGTGTAGCTGATGGAGCTTCTGGGCAGTGTAGCTGATGGAGCGTCTGGGCAGTGTTGCTGATGGAGCGTCTGGGCAGTGTAGCTAATGGAGCGTCTGGGCAGTGTTGCTGATGGAGCGTCTGGGCAGTGTAGCTGATGGAGCGTCTGGGCAGTGTTGCTGATGGAGCGTCTGGGCAGTGTAGCTGATGGAGCGTCTGGCCAGTGTAGCTGATGGAGCGTCTGGGCAGTGTAGCTGATGGAGCGTCTGGGTAGTGTAGCTGATGGGGCATCTGGGCAGTGTAGCTGATGGAGCGTCTGGGAAGTGTTGCTGATGGAGCGTCTGGGTAGTGTAGCTGATGAAACGTCTTGGCAGTGTTGCTGATGGAGCGTCTGGGCAGTGTTGCTTATGGAGCGTCTGGGCAGTGTAGCTGATGGAGCTTCTGGGCAGTGTAGCTGATGGAGCGTCTGGGTAGTGTAGCTGATGGAGCATCTTGTTAGTGTAGCTGATGAAGCGTCTGGTTATTTCAGTTGATAGATGGTCTGTTTATTCCACTGGATAGAGCGTTTGTTTAGTCTAGTGGATAGATCGTCTGGTTAGTGTAGCTGAGTGAGCATCTGGGTAGCGTAGTTCATGTGGCGATTAAGCGTCTGGGTAGTGAGGCTGATGGAACGTCTGGGGAGTGTAGCTGATGGTGCGTCTGGGTAGTGTAGCTGATGGAGCGTCTGGGTAGCGTAGCTGATGGAGCGTCTGGTCAGTGTAGCTGATGGAGCGTCTGGGTAGTCTAGGTGATGGAGCGTCTGGTTAGTGGAGCTGATTGAGCGTCTGGGTAGTCTAGGTGATGGAGCGTCTAGGTAGTGGAGCTGATGGAGCGTCTGGGTAGTGTAGCTGATGGAGCGTCTGGTTAGTGTAGCTGGTAGAGCTTCTGGGTAGTGTAGCTGATGGAGCATCTGGGTAGTGGAGCTGAAGGAGCGTCTGGGTAGTGGAGCTGATGGAGCATCTGGGTAGTGTAGCTGATGGGAGCGTCTGGTTAGTGTAGCTGCAAATTTTGTTGTGCAATATTACATTGTAACTCAAAGGGCTTATTTATTCTCATCACGTCCTGGTGCTGACATGCCAGCGCTCGATGAACCATATTTCAAACCCCAGTGTTTGCCTTGTGTAATCACCCAATATAAGGCCTTTACAGAGACCACCAGGTAATGTCTACAGCTTTTCTACATGCGTCCCATAAAACACTCAATGAACATGATAAGAGATTCACTGTCACCACACCCAACACAGTGATTCTCACGCATGACTCCCTCCCGGGTGTATCACTTCCTTGTTGCCCACTATGGCGGTTGTGAGGACTCTGCTTGTGTGGGTGGTTGTGGCAGAGTGTTGGGTACAACATACGACAGGTGAGTTGATAGTTTACCCCACTACCTATCTACTAACGTCAACACGTGCGTGTCATGTGATATGCATTTACATGTTGTATAACCTTATTTACTGATCAAATACCAAGGAGTGTTGCTCTTTGATAATGGGTATAGTCTGTGCAATCTTGAGATAAGAACATTTAGGATTATTCCTGAGCGCATTTTTACTATTCTAATTATCCAAGACTGTACAATAGTCGTAAGAAACGTTTGCTTTCATTTATACACATGTACCTTTAAAACTGACAGTTGTGCACTCGGACCACAGCTAACCCACTATGGCCTGTTAATGTATAGTGATAATGCCTCACCGAGCGAGACGAGTCGACCGGGCGTCATCTTGTACGTCAGGCATGAAAACATATGACGCGGGGTTATATACATAAACTGGCTTTTCAATTATTAATTGAGGTAACCCAAAGGAAGCTTATCCATTACAGCTCGATGGCTTCATTTCTAAGCTCGGCTACATAACTGACAGGTCGTGTTGGACTTTTTACGTTGTTGGGTCGCTTGTTTGATGGCGTACAGTGCGCAAGTGAACGAGGTGCAGATCTAATAACTGCGTTTTGAACAGAAGCATTTTTAGCGATCGGGTTTTGCTGATTGTGGAACTAGCAATGGTTAGGCTGTTCATCAGTCGGGTTTTTGTTGATGTGACGCTCATTGATATTTTTTATCTTGAGTGAATAGTATCCATGCGCTGGCTGACGGATCCTCGAGACTACAATATCCCAGGATACTACATAAAAAGTACCAGCAATATGAAATGTCAAATCCTTAAATGGTTAATTAAGATTTGTTAAGGTTTTGGAAACAGAACAGAAACACAATTAATTGATTGGTTAGCCAATTAAATATCATGGAAGTGCCTGCAATTCATTTATTCGGTTATATCTAAGAAGTTGACATAAATAAATTCTCTTTCTTATACATATATTTCTTTTTAATATGGCGATCCACAGCAGACCATGAGTAGTATATACTATGAGTTGTATGTATGTATGTATGTGTGTGTATGTGTGTGTGTGTGTGTGTGTGTGTGTGTGTGTGTGTGTGTGTGTGTGTGTGTGTGTGTGTGTGTGTGTGTGTGTGTGTGTGTGTGTGTGTGCTTCCAAAAAGCAGGTTTCACTCGCATTATGATTGCTTTGCCCTTAAAAGTTTTAAAATACTCAATGGATGTAAACCTCAAAGACACAGAAACTGTAAAGTTTACTAAGAGAAGAATCATAAGATACTAATGAGCATAAAGAAAAGAGTTTTAGCACACAATCATTGTTCCTAGTGCAAGTTGATAGTCTTCGGCAACTTCCGGAAGTAATCGTAAATGTCAATTAATTCCTAATTGAATTAAACCTTCTGTAAATTATAACGTTTGCTAAACTTATTAGTTTCCATATTCATCTAATTAATTATTATTCTTTACACTTTTCTCTTTCTCTTAACAAAAATCTTCCAAATTTCCCCGTGGTGCATTTCGTCATCATATTATCTGATGTAGTGTCGTTTACTCAGCAAGCCATTTTCAACTTATTCCCTTAATTTTGTCAACAAATATCGCGTAAGTACGTTCCCCATGCTGGTAACATATTTCTGTTGTGTTTGTCATTGATTTCATTTTTATACTCTCGATTCACATTGCACTTCCTTGATAGGCGTGGTCGTGTCGAAATGAACGTCAATATTTATCTGATACTTTATGACAAATTTCGCGGTGGGTTGGTTATTGTATGGGGTGGCATCACTATGACGGACCGAACCCACTCCATATTGTACAAGGAAGGTTCACTGGACAGTGCTATCGAGACAGCATACTGACACCAATGTTTTGGAGTGTGGGTCGACGTTTTGTCTTCCAGGACAACGGCCGTGCTCAGTGTGCTGTGTCAATGCTCACCCCCAGCAGCACAGCATCCAAACAATGTCATGGCCACCAATGAGACCAGACCGTTACCCAACTAAACATGTCATGGATATGATAGGGGGACGTCATAGGCCGCCGACCACGTTGGCTGAACTTGCCACGCGACAAGAAGAGATAGTCCCACAAATGATCTTTGGGAGATCCATACGCAGTAAGTGTATGAATGAATGTTTGACAATGTATGACGCACTCCTGATAAAAAAACAACAACTTTATAACTTCTTACCCTTATCGCCTATAGTAGGTAGACATAATATCTACTGTCATACACCACTGCCGGTTATAATGTATTTCCAATTCGTTCATTGTTTTCATACAACAAATACTAGAAACAGATATGTCATTCAATTTTGAAAATTTGAAGTTATTTCAAAGTATACCCAACCTTTTAAGAATTTAATATCACTGCATGAAAGGAGTAATTCTTAAATAACAGTTGTTCCTTATGTGAGTTACAAGAGACAAAAGTGTCTGTGTTATCCTGTTTTCCACGATTCTCATTGGCTGAGGTGAACTCAAAATTTCATGTTATTTTTCGATGACTGCAAAAAAGACTTGCGATCCGGAGATTCTTTCTCAAAGAGTATTCTCCGTGACCTCGTCATTTGAAATAGTGTCAACATATCTGTGGTATCGGGAACTCCCTTGCGTCGGAGAGCCAAAACATTACAAGGGCATCGGTTCTGAACTGTCAATAAATCAGTTAAACAAATTGTTCAAAGGAGTATATATTTCATTGTGGTAAGAGCATGTTGCACCTAATAGAAATATTAGCATATGATTTAATTGCAGTCATGATTTCCTCCGAACGGTCTTCTGTTTCGTTGGTGGGCCTGAACTCAGTCAGCCCGATCGTTCCTTCGTGTACATCTGGAAATAACGTAAATGCGCGATCTGTAATGCACATTTACAGTAAAAGAAGTGATTCATTGAAATTCCAGATGTCATGACTTGTGAAGGCGTATGATAAAGACCAAATCGTTTTGTTTTCGTTCTGAACAAACGAGTTGCATGGAAAGCTGCCCACCATGTTTGTTTCCGTTTGATCCGGTTCAAGGACTTACATTTCGGTAATATATATTTCAAAACACATTCTCCTTAGATGTTACGATTAACACCTCATAAAACAACTGCCAAAACTCAACTGTTTAATGCAAACATAGGGTTACTGAGTCCACAAACACGTTTGCAAACGCACTGTCTCATTACCCAGCCAACATTCGACTCGTCAAGGTGGGATCAAGCCTCCCTGATGCTCGAGGATATTGCACACATTCTCACTTTTTAAGTAACTGTGATAAAATTCATTGGAAATAAATCCTGATTGAATTTTTAAATCTTTGTTCTTCCAGTCATCATTTCACTTATAAACTTTCCCATTTTTGTGTGCATTTGACAAAGGACACCAGTTACAAATTGTATGAGATCAAGTAGCGTAGCGGAGCGGTTTCATACTTAATTTGGGACTAGCTTGGAATAATTGCTGCAGATCATGTAGCCCTAGCTCGTCGAGCACATTCCCCAGATGCTCAGTTAGATTGAGGTCGGGTGAAAATCAGAAGAGACTAGGCTGTTTGAGGGAGAGTATTGCCATGTTAAATAATGGTGCTTTGTGCTTAGTGCTTGCTGAGCCGGGAGAACGCGAGGACGTAAGATCTCGTCACAATAACGCACACCTTATAAAGTCTCCATGTATATGAATAAGGTCTGTTCTTCGCGCATAACAGATGGCTCTCCACATCAGGACACTTCTTCCATCGAACCTGTCGACATCTTGTACTCAACATCGGGTATAGCGTTCATTCATACACACGGGTCCGCTCATCAAACGGGATGAGTCACCAGATTAACCGCAAGGCTAGTGCATAAATACAGGGTCAACGAACAATAAAATCACTCCGTCGTATGGTAACCTTTTCCTTCCTATTCATGTCCTTTGAGGTTTTTCAAATTATCCCTTTCAGAATATGTTGTGGGAAATACTGTCAACACAGTACCACTAGGTAATATGCACACTATAGACCGTCTTCAGTAGGAGAAAAGAACGAACATTTGTCTTAGAGTTTCTGTCACCACAGGGGATACGGGTGGCCCAGTCGTAAAAGGCGCCGCAATTCGCAGTGCAGAGTTGCGTCCCTTGGGCACGCGAGAAACATGATCGTGGGTTTGAATTTCGCTTCTCTCAGATTATATTACCAGGTTTATCAGCATCATACACGTGTTCGTGGGTTAGATCAAAGTGATAAACGTCTGAGACATACCACACGTCGAGCTTTCCTCCCACAGTAACCTGATCTGGACACTCCGTGGTTTAACTGAAATACTGTACAAAGCAGTGTTAAAACAAACTCACTCATTCACTCTTGTTACTACCATACATGTAACGAATAGCAATGTCACAACATCTTCAATGTATTTCGACCACAGAGGCCAGTGACGCACTGCATTCACACGAATGAAGTTTATCAGGACTATATGCACATTTACAGATATTATAACGTTAACTTGACGAAAAACAAGTGTGACGTGCGGATTATGTCAGTTCATAGTAGCATCCTCTAAAGCAATTAACTGAAACGAACTGAACTTTGATGTAGAATAAGTTCCATACAATAAGTTAATGCTCACTATTGTTAGGGCAACACATATTCATAATCATGTGGTCTTATCTCTTGATAAGATGACATTTGTTTATAAGTAGGTGTGTCAAAACGGAGGAGTGTGTGTTAATGTTTGCTGTTCAGCCTATGTCAGCAATGTTCCCTTGCTAAGTCGGGTATTAAATCAACTGTGTGCACTTCATCTCGTCTCTCAAAATTGAGACCCTTTGTCAACCCTCTGTTATTATCCGGTGAATTTGCTTGAATAAAATTGGCAATGGTTTTCCTCTTCTTTGTGTCCATGTTCATCTATAAACAGATTCGAGGTGTTACCTTTATGTTATATTCTATGGTTTTATAATAAAATGTACACTGAACAACTTCATGTCACCATGGGGGCGGTCGGGTAGCCTAGTGGTTAAAGCGTTCGCTCGTCACGCCGAAGACCCGGGTTC